GATGATGAAATKACCAGCTTTATGCTGAATAATAATAGTTACCTTTAASCTAATAGRATAGTTTCTGTGAATAGRYTATAATTTATTTCATRTAATTTARTATACTTATYSYTTAAATGTATTGCTCTATATACTGAGGCAGCTAAACAAGTTCTTGAAAAATTAAACATGGTTTATGCAATGCTAAGCTGATTGATTAAACTGGATTGGGACCCTGTTGTAGAAGTTGTGTGCATAAAAGTCTGTCATCTTTGCCATGGACTGTGATGTTTGYACCCATAAATACAAACTCATTCTGCCCACAACAGCCCTGATATCAACAGTTACTCATCTGTTATAATGATGTCTAAGCCATTTTGAACAGATGTTTATTCAACTAAATTTCATATTCTTCAGGTTTTGACCATTCAGGGTAATACTTTGTGCTAAAGGAGTATTTTTCTAAAATATTTTCATTTTTACTGAATGTTGAGTATCTTCCTGTCCTTGGGCATTTTTAGGATTGTTTATGTAATTTATAGCTTCTTACAATTTGTTTCAATGGATTTTCAGCAGGGAATATAACAACAAGAAACACATCACTGACTTAATGCTATCCTATTTTTAAACTATGAACAGTTAAAAATTCATGCAGCAATAATTCTAGCTTTGGGTTGCTTAGAAATGTGGTAATAGTTTTAAAATGTTTTGATGAAAGAGAAAATATTTTTGTACAAATAATTATATATCAAGGTGTTTCTTAATAAGATTGTCTAAGTCCTTTCTCTGAAACATGTGATWTTTACATGTGTCACCTTTTTTTGYARGAATMAAAAACAAATCTGTCAGKAAGGCCAATACAGTTGTTTGTTTTKAGATKCTTTCAATCAGGGTTAAAACCTCTCTTTTTAGCTACAGAAAAATTGATTGGTCAGTGTATTTTATTCAGGATGCCAYGACCTAAATACTGCTCTTTCTGTTGCTGACTTTAGCTTACACTTAGTTCTGCTTTATCTTATTTGTTACCTACATGTACATTTCATAGACTACTGTATTTTTAGCAAGAGTTGCCATGCAATTGTGCCAWTGCCATAATCTTGTTTTTTTTTTTCAATCTCACCTAGCACCTTCTGAACTCTRAGGCTGAMTKTAGCATTTTTCTGGTTAGAACTGARGGAGAGGGATTCAATACACCTTTYGTTGCAAAKATCTCTTGATTTAAATCARGATATGTTGATTCCATARTTATRTTATCTGATTTCTTGCCCTGTCTTTATTACAGTACTATCTTTAAGCAACATCATTGCTTTTTTTTCCCCCAGAGAAATCTCTTAATATATACTTCACATTAGAAACAAATATCATACATCTCCTTTGTAGAACATGCTAAAAGGAGACATTTTTGTGAGGATGGGTTATGTGTTTTATAAGAGTGGGCAAACTCTTGGCTCCTATTAAGAGACATGTTTATGTTGTATTATTTCTATTTGTTATTGCTATGTTAGTTATGTTTGAAGGGTTAATGTGTTCRGCATTCAACACAAACTTCTAACACAGCTTTTGGCCTGAAGTTGAAAAGCATCATCTTTGGGTTTAGATTATAAAGGCCAAGTAGTCAGATGAGTGCTGGCCCAATCCAATAGCCCTCTGAAGTCTGAAGGACCACTTGGACAGTTAGCTGGTTTTGAAGGAACAGTTTTGGCAGTGACTTTGTTTGGTGTTTTCTCCCCTGAATTTCATATTTTCTGCTGCTGTTCCACAGACAGCCAGTCTGTACCTTTCAGTGAGGGAGTCCATRTTATTGCCTTGGCATGTTATCAAACTCATGCTGGCTACCAAGCTACAATGAAGAAATGCAGTTTTATAAAGTTTCTTCCTCAGCAAAACCAAAATGGAATATAATGAGGAAATATGAGGCACTCTTTTGGCATGAGTGCTTCTTAGAAACATTTTTAAGGTTTGTGGCTTTGACTTCAAGTCTGCAGATTTTGATAAATGTGACCCCTAGGTAATTTTCCTGCTGTGTTCTCCGTGTTGTGTCCGATTTATTGTTCTATAACCAAAAGGCTGCCCAGTGGATCAAGGGAAAACAAGTTAGATTTTCATGTTAGAAAGGTCACACAGACCAGCTGAGATAGGAAGGCAGAAGAAAACTCCTGGTCCAAACTCCTGCTCAGACTAAGGTCAGCAACAAATTTCTCAGGGCTGTGCCCAGTCAGGTTTTTAGAATGTCCAAGGATGGAGAATGAAAGGTCTGTCTAGGCAACCAGTTCCAGTGTTTGACCGCCCACTGAGTAAAAAAAGTGTTTTCCTGTGTTTAAAAAGAGATTCCTGTATTTTAGTTAATGTGCGTTTTCTTTTGGAAATTATATTAAATCCATTTAAAATTAGATTAAAAAAGGAAAAAAGAAAWGCAAAACTAACAAACCAACCAAGCAACCAAAAAACCCACCAAAACCAAAACACCGTAGAAATATTTAGGTTGGAAAAGACCTGTAAGATCATCAAGTCCAACCATTTTAACTCTCACTGCCAAGGCCACCAGGAAGCCACACCCGTAGTCTCCACATCTTTCAAATATCTCCAGGGATGGTGACTTCCCTCAGCAGTCTTTTCCTATGCTCAACAACCCTTTCAGTGAAGAAATTTTTGTTAATGTCTAATTAAAACCTCCCCTGGTTCAAATTTAAGCCATTTCCTCTTGACCTRTCACTTGTTGCTTGGAAAAAGAGATTTAATATTAAAAAATAAAAAAAAAATAAATTGTCCTACCCACAAAGCCCATGCCCAGATTCGCATTTATTCTCCCCCTCTAGGTTGTTGTTACTGAAAATCTGTTACTTTGAAGATTAAGGTCTTTATTTTTCAGGTTTATCTTTATGGAAGTACTTCCAAGTTTTCAGAATATTTACCTTGTGTGTAGGAGATATTAYGAAATTAAGAATTACTGACTTAG